TTTTAATCTAAGAACGTAGTAAGGATCATTAACTTTATAGGTAAAATTATTTTTAGTTTCCTTTCAACTTGTAACATGTAAAGAATCTTAATAAATACTTATAGTTTAAAGTCAACTTATTTAGTTATAATTTACATACAAATATACAAATAATTCTCGATTTAAAAAAGGCTAATTAAAAAACTTTATAAAATTTGAAGTCAAAACCAGTTTATAATAATTTACTTAACACAAGAAACTATTAATAAGCTCTTGATATGTAAAAATGTTTATTATTGGTCCGCCATCTTCCTTATATCAAGGGTTACCTGTATTGAAGTAATTGTTTTGTTTGTAAGCAAAAGCTAAAAGAATAAAAAGAGCACTTTATTGCATTGGAGGTATATTTGGGTTACGAAATTATTTTTGTAATGACGAAAATTACGAAATCATAAGTGACAAAATTGATTTCGTCAAATTTGGTCAATTTCGTTACCCATCACTAATTGGAAGCGTCTTTTTAATACTGTCTTCATTTTTGTTATATTGACTATCAACTTTCGGTTTGAAATCCATAATATCTACTTTTTCACCAGTTATAAATCCTTCATTTACATTTAGATCCAGTTTTCTTGCAAGTTTCTTAAAAGCATCATGAATTGAGTCAACCTTTTTAACAAAATTGATAGATTAATAATCATCTGTTACAAATATTTAAAATAAAAAAATATGCAGATTGATACTACCTTGTTTGGATCACGTGAAAATATGCGAACGATCCTTTCTTGATATTGTTCAGGAAAAAGATGGCTAATTCTTTCAGGTTCAAGATCGAGTATCATAGTACGATCTTTATTATAAAATTTAACACTTTCTATTGGATTCGATTTTCCTTTTGCATAATTCAAATCTTGCCAATCGACAATTATGTCATCTTTGCTTAGAGGTATAGAGCCACTGTGGTGACTAGAAATTTCAAATTCATTGAGATTTTCCTATAAAAAATTGAAATAATATTATAAATATAAAAGGATTTATAAAAACACCGCGTAATTAATAAGCACATTACTTTTGTAACGCCTGCCCTATTATCTGGGATTATACACTCGTTCACAAACTTGTATAATTTCCTCTGTCTAATCCGTTTAATGATTTTTTTTGATTCTTCCAATTTCTACATTCAATCATTTATTAGAATATTAAGTAATTACAGTTAATATATAACAAAAACAAATACATCTAAAAGCAAATACCGGTTTTTTTGCTATTTCATTTAAAATAGAATCATCCAATTTGATATACTCATCGGGATCAAAGATTATATTCTCAAAATGGTATGTGTCATTTGCTTTCACAAGCGCGTCCCTGATCATAAAATTAATCGCTCTGGCTAAAATTAATATTGGTCAATAATTGGTCAATTATACCATAATGACAACAAATTTGTCAGTAGCAACTTACTAACGCGATGGTTATATATTCTCTTGTGTAAAGAATATCGCGTGTGAAACATTTCATAAATGTTAAAGCATTCCTTATGATGGTAGCCTATCTGATCGTTTATGACATAAGAAAATTTCATCAATCGTGAAGAATCAAATAATGAATTCATCCCTAAATAATAACAGTCTCGTGCGAGATAATCGAATTTGTCAACATCCACAGAGTTACGTTTATTGGCAACAATGTCAAATAGGTACGGAGATCTTTTACTAAAGTGAAAAAATGGGATAAATTTATGTTATGTATTTCAGTGTAAAAATGAAAAAGAACTTACGTTCTGTCGCCTTTAATAAGATTCTTGATATATTTCAAATCATCTGTGCTTAGATCAATGGAGCGCGATTCCATTCCATTGTAAAGATGATCAAGCATCAGTTCGGATCCATCTTCATGCTTCCATCTATACGTATGATAAATGTTTTTATGATATCGGTATACGATTAAGCACTGACAATGTTATTTGTTTTAAACCTACTTTAATTTTGGCGCAATTGCTGGGATAACTTCATTATCAAACACATGACTAAATGGTCCATGTCCTGTTAAATGAATATAAATAATAATTCTTTGCCTTACGTTAAAATTTTAATTTTATTTGACGTGCGATTAATTTAAGCTCACCTAAATCGTGACACAAAGCAGCCAAAGTTACACATTTAAGGTCACGATCACTTGTTTCAATTCCTGGTTGATCTTGTAATTTTTTTGTTAAGGTATAAGCAAGGTGTGCAGTTCCTGTGCATAATGATTTGATCTTTAAATATTTTCATTTCCGTGATGAAAAAGTCATGAAAGAAAAACTTATTTTTACCTAGACTGTGTTCAAAACGATTGTGACATGCACTTGGGAAAACATAATTAGAGGCTCCTAATTGCTTAATGTCTCGCAGTCTTTGGAATTCTTCGGTATCTATAAATTCCACCGCCCACTTTTTAAATGTGATATACTCCTATTAAAGAATATATGTTAAAACTAATAATCAAATAACTTAATTGTCTATTATTATGTTATAAATTTACATGGATAGGATCCTTAATAATCTTCTCTTGTTCCTGCGACATTGTAAATAGCGTTTAAAGTTATGAACTCATTTTTCATTTTGGACGTATTTAAGGTTCATGATTTTCGGTTACGCACCGACAAGCATTTTTTCACTTAAAAGCCATTAATAGACATCACATCAGATGACAATTTAGTATTAACAATATAAATGCAACTAATTAAATGCTATTGTCACCCTGAGTGATGTCGGTTAAATGTAATGTTTGCCGAAGTGAGCGATTACACAATTTCTTTATACGTATAATCAAGTAGTACAATATTTCTTGGTTATTAACTTCATTAAGTATATCATATGTGCATAGTACGTTGCAAAAGACGAAATGGGTCATTTGCTAGGAAAATCACTGTTTGGCATTTGCTTTCAGCAGTGATTTTCCTAGTACGTAAATATCCCAAATGACTTCCATTAGATGTATGGGTCCATAGGAAGACTTTCATATGATTGGCTGTTTAAATCAATTTAATTTTACATTATTTATACAGTTTAAAGTACTTTTTTAAAAAAAATAAAACTACAAAGTATAAACAAAAAAAAGTATATAGAAAGCTTTATTAGGGTTGTAGGATTCCAGTATTAAAAATAATCAAAAATATTTCTGGTTTTAGAGAAGTTAGTATAATAGCGACTTCTTAAGATAGATATTACCATGCTACCTTCTCTAAAACCAGAAATGATTTTGATTATTTTTAATACTGGAGTCCTACAACCTTAATATAGCATTCTATATACTTTTTTTTTGTTTATTCTTTGTAGTTTTATTTTTTTAAAAAGTACTTTAAACTGTATAAATAATGTAAAATTAAATTGATTTATACATATTACATCATAAAATGGTTAGCAAAGTAATAGCACAAAAATTTGGCGGACTCATGATTTTAACCAACAATCTCAAAATCGGACCTGCACATGGTTATATTTCATCGAAAAAGTTCAAATACTGAAATATATTAGAATAATGTATTAATCGATATTGAATCTTAACAGTTCAATTTACAAGCCCTCAGTTTAGTATATAACATTTATTGCCTGATTTGTTTTGAAGATCACAGGACCAACCATCAAATTTTTGCACTAATACTAACTAGACTTCTCTAATTGACCACCCTTAATAATGGAAAGCTTTGATTAAGGCGTGGATAGATTTGGTCCGAGTAACTTATACCAGGAAAGGAGTGATATATAATATTACTAAGTACATAATTGATTGGACAATGCATTAAATGCAATAAACGTGAAATTCTGCATAGGATTTTTTGAATCTACTGCGCAGGTGCGCAGCCTCGACTCCGCCGAGAGGTTATATATAAATCATCTACGTACTTCATATTAGAGTTTGGAACCGGTTTTATTTTTTATATGATAAAATCGATTAAATCTGGTTTTAACATATGAAAAATAAAACCAGTTCTAAACTCTACCTCATATGTGTAAAGTTATACTCTCATCATTTTTAATTAGTGCTTCAAGGTCAGTTTAGACATTTGACATTTGTTTTAGAAATATTCATTTTTTCTTGCATAACAGTGGATTTCGTCTGGCAAATCGAAAAAACTGTCCTAACATTACCAACTTAAAAAATTTTCACAATCAGATTTCAAGTTCAGGGGTGACGCAGAAAAGACGCAAAAAAATCAAAACAAACAAACAATCGCCCATAACTCAATATATTATCTATGAAACCACCTGCTGCGCACTAACGAAAAGTTTTTCTTGCAAAATTTTAGTATAATTAAAGTTTTTCTAACCTAACTTATTAGCAGAGCCTAACCCTAATCTAACAGCGAAAATTTTTTAGCTAAATTTGTTAGTTTGGTGACACTAGATAGTTTAGTCAGCATCATAATGCTGGCCTGAATTATGCTAGCTGGCTAAATAATAAAAATTATACTGCGCAGCCTGCGCAGTGTCCCATCCCTAGATATACCAAACTGTACGGACGTACGTACAAGCTTTAACAGGTTTTTGACTCGATTAAAGTGCATGAAAATCATTTATAAGGTATGATTTTTTTTTTTATTATTGTCTTCGGAATTTCACTAACCAGATGTGGGGGGTCGCTTAAAGCCAGGAACATCACGAGATTTCCCGATGATCATCGATCATCGGGTAAATGTGGATGTACGATTTTCAATTTTTTAGTAATATATAAATCTAGTGTTAGATAAGACAATTTTTTTTTCTCTTGAATAAATGATTTTGGTAATAGTTTTTTTTTTCTTAAAAAATGATTTTTTTTCTTGACTGTTGATTGCATATTTTACTTCTATAAATGATGGGCAGAATTATTTAAACCAAAGGTGCACACTTCTTTTCAATGTTACAAGTTGAAAGGAAACTAAAAATAATTTTACCTATAAAGTTAATGATCCTTACTACGTTCTTAGATTAAAA